GAGACCCGTGCTCTGGAGAAGACTTACGAGGCCAAATACCAGCCTCTCTTCTCGGAAAGGTCTAAGGTCATCGCCGAGGGTGGCGTTCCCGAGTTCTGGCTCACTGTGTTGAAGAACACTGCCAATTTTGGGCCTGAGATTGACGATCATGATAAGGAGGCTTTACAGTATTTGGTTGACATACAGGCTGAGGAGATCCCTGGTGAGAAGGAAGAGGATTTGATCGCCGGATTGAAGATTACTTTCGTGTTCAACGAGAACCCTTTTTTCGAGAACAAGTCCTTGTCGAAGACCTACCACTTCAGCGAGGTTAATGATATGCTCCGTCATGAGATCAAGTGCATTGATAGCGACACTGTGGCATGGAAGGCTGGGAAGGATCTCACTCTGAAGTCTGTCGTGAAGAAGAACAAGAAGACTGGAGCTACTAAGACCGTGCAGAAGGAGAGAGAATCTTTCTTTAGGTTCTTCACGTGAGTCCTTGGGGGTTAGAGTTGCGTGGTTGTAGATAGACGTGTATTTGTCGGCGATAGTTTGATCTATCGTTCTGTAGAGTTGGCGAGTTCGGGAGTGTCTTCTCGTAACGAGAAGGTCTTGGGTCAGAAATCGCTGATAATCAGTACATCGAGAATCTCGTTGTATTGATTAGCAGCGAGCTTCGTGGAGAAATTTCCGAATGTGTTCTATCTTTGATTGGTGAACTTTTTTCTACGTAAGAATTTCGACTAGTTATTAGTAGATGCGAGGCGTGACTGTGTCATTCTTCAGCCCTCTCGGACCCGATCATCCCATCCCTGAGATCTTCCTGGACCTGGATTCGGATTCAGAGTCAGACGATGATGAAGCTGAGGAGCGTCTTCAGTTCTTCATGAGCGCTGATTTCGAGAAGGCTGACGATCTGAGGGAGAACATCATTCCTCGCGCTTTCAAGTAATATCTTCGGTGGAATTTTCATTGGAAAATATTTATAATGAAGTTCGATATAAATATTTTCAGAGAATTTTCGATAATCGAAGTGAGTTTCCGTATAACACTCGAATGCGGTGCCCACAGTGTATTGTCTTCTGAATGTAGATGATAATGAAATCAAATGCTATGATGTTCGAGGCATGTTAGTCATATTGTGATGCTATCAGATACTTTACTGGTGAGGCTGCCGACTATGATTCCGATGAGGACGATTCCGAGAGTGACTGCGAGGGTGAATGCGATGATGACTCTAAGGAGGCCGATGAGGAGGCTGCTCAGAAGCATGAGTAAACACTTTCCCTCTATACGAAGGTTTTCCGATGGAAGCAAAAGTGTCTCATACTGGCTGTTTTCTTTACTTTTATCGCTGTATCGTCACTGAACCATAGATAGCTCTCAGAACAGCTGTGGCATTGCATTGATCGAGCGTGAGGTGTAGTATATCTTGGGCGGTTGATCAAGTGAGGAACTCTGCCAAGCTTGTTTCTGGTTACGTTCATATACAGGAGGTTGTTGCGTTGTCTTGGTAAAGAGAGGTCGAGGTTTGGAAGACTTCGGATTGAAATTGATCCCTTATGGATACGGTAAATTCGTTAGGGAAGGGCTTTCAAGTCTTCAGATTTTTTTCGGTGTAGCGTTGTTACATTGACGGTGTTGCACGTGGATAGTTCGAGGCTCGTTGTGATGTCCTTGGTAAGTGGGATTCACACGTGAGCAGCAAGGGACTGTCAGAAGTATAAGAGGGATTCATTTTCGACGTGGTCTCTCTATTTCAAAAGACTCCTCGATGATTATCCGAGAAATGGTGGGCGTTCGTATAGCATATTGTTATTCGATGGGAAGATCGGTTTAATCGTGTTTGGAGTGTGGGGTATGCTCCGAGCAGCTTCCTCGCGTAGGATGCGAGTGATACAGCATAGTTGTCTGTACATAAACAATTTCCAGTTCTTGCTATTCCCTAGTTACGTTACCGTCACTTCCCCGGCATTTGGTTTATCGCGGACTAGATAATCCTTCCTTGGATCGCGAAAAGCTCTTTATGGGTGGCTAATATGCGGTGTTTTCACGCGGCTCGTCAAATATTCAGAAATTTGTCTTGTTCATGTCAACTAATCGTCCGCGACTTCTCCGGCTGGTGAACACAGCCTTCATGCCGCGGCTTGGTCTGTTCGCGCCCTCGAAGCCGCTGTGGTTCCGCTATAATCAAATACGAACAGAGCGGAAAGGGGATGACCCGCTAAGGAAGGCTCATCACACATTACACTGTGGGCATTGTCACCGGAAGGTAGGAAAATAGCAAAAATCTTTGGTGTGATGATGACAGGCTATTGACTCCTCGATGTTGTG